CTTCAGTACACTAAACATCTTTGGTATAGAAAAGTAAATTCTAGAACTCATGGCCCACATCAGTAACATCTAATTAATAGTTGTTTGGCATTATTTTAAAGGACACTACTTTTAAACATCTATTGTTAAATCTGATGAGGACCTGAAAACTTTTGGCAATGCTCTCATGGGCAACTACTTTTGAAATGTTTTTCTTGCCCTTGCTTTTGCACAGTTCCAATAAAACTATATTTTCTTTGCTAACTTGTTTAATAGTGCATTAAACTGGATCTTAATATTGAATACTTTCTCGTGGTGTCAAGTGTTTTACAGCATAGTATATCTTTACCTTTATCAACATACTGTATAAAATGGGAAGGTCTCAACTTCATACTATTTCATGGTTAGATTATGAAGATCTCACATAATTTTCAGCCTTTGAATTATTCTATGAACTGAACTGTCCCCACCACCCTAACCCCAAACATATGTTGAAGCCCCAACCACCAATTTGACAGTACTTGGATATAGGATCTTTAGGAGATCAATTAAGATGAAATGAAGTCCTAAGGGTGGGGCCCAGCTCCATAGGATTCATGACTTTATAAGAAGAAAAAGGGAGAGAGAACACACACATTTGATCTCTTCAAGTGGGTACAGAAATGAGGCCATGTGAGGACACAGCCATAGTCAAGCCAGGAAGAGAGCTCTCACCAGGAACCAAATTGGCCAGCACCTTCATCTGGGACTCATAGACTTCAAAACTGTGAAAAATAAATGTCCACTGTTGAAGCCATGTAGTCTGTGGTATACTGTTATGGAGCCTGAGACAGACTGTCAAGTTTTCTGGGTGTGCACTCCTGTATTCTTCTCTGGGCTGCATTATCAGATCATGACACCAAATATATTTTGGAAACTGGCTGCAATGCCAGTGTGCTTGCTGCTATGATATTAGTCCAGGGCTTAATATCTTTTAATATCATTTTTAAAAGATAGTATAGTGTAGTTCAAGGCAGTATCTACTTTAAGTCTCAAAACTGAGCTTTGGATAATGTAACCTAATTCCTGACATCATGTTTTAAGTTTTTGTTAAAAGAAAGTTATTACAACTTGGGGTGGGACTGGATCCTGGAATAATGAAAATAAAACACAAAACAAAAACACTGAGGGAAAATCTCTCAAATCCAAATGAAGTACAGAGCGAGTTCACAGTAATGTTGCAATGTCAGTTCCCTGGTCCTGACTCGTGGCTGGCAGTGCAGGTGTTAACAATGGGGGCAGCATTGTCATCTGAGACTCAGTCCTGTCTTGACAACATTCCCGTACATCTAAAAGTATACTAAATTAAAAGAGGTTATTAAAAAGAAAGCCAGGGCTGTAGTTGTGGCTCAGTGGTAGAGCACTTGGCTGGTATATGTGGGGCACTGGGTTTGATTCTCATTATCACATGTAAATAAATAAATAAAATAAAGGTCTACTGACAAACTAAAATATATGTATACATATAAATTTAAGAAAAAAGAAAGCCAGTGTTTTCATAACGGATCTTGTGTTATATACTTCGATAAACTTATGCTAATGCAATTATGCTCATGAATCATGCTCTGTTTTTATACCTTTGAGTTTGGGATTAATATTTTATTTGCAAAAAGAGCTTCACCATTAAAGAAACAAAATCCAAAACAAAGTCTAAAGTCTATTAAGCAGTTGAGGGCTGTGCAGGTACATCAACAACCCTGAGCAGGAAAAGAAGGCAGGCTGGGACGCCTGAGGCCTGGGGTCTCATCCTGGCCCAGCTCTTCCTGTGTGATCTGGGCAAGTTAGTACAATTCCAGGTCTCGGTTTCCTCAGTAGAAAAACAATATTGAAGATRCTCAATAAAGTCAGCTCACGGTGTCCAAGCTCCTGCGTCACCAGGCTTAGCCTGCTGTTCAGACTTGTGCCCAGACGCTCCCTTCTAATACCCATATCGCCAGCAGCACAGACCTTTCCACTGCAGGTCCTACACCTGCCCTGCCTTTGCACTGCTCAGGCTCTTGCACATGTTGTTCCCTCTTTCTGGAACACTTTTCTGGAAGTTTTGCATCTGGCAAACTTTGGTACATTCTCCCAGATTCGGTTGATCTCCATCTCTAAAGAGCTTATCCAATCTCCCCCAGAGAACACATTTGTTCACCTCCCCTGTTCATTCAGAGGATGAGGGGCAGTCCCAGCCAGCCAGCCACTCACTCCATCCTTCCTCCATGACACTTCCACACTGCTGACCACACTATGTCCTAACTGGCTTCAGGTGCCTCCTTCTTCCTCCGGACTGGAGAACCTCAAGAACAAGGACAGGGGTCTTGCCTAGGCTTGGACCCAGCACCTGACACACAGCAGACCCCATCAGTCTGCACACAAACTATCTTTTGCTCAGGAAACGGATGACCCTTGATTTTTTTATTTGCTGTTTTACTGAATCACATAAAACATTTTATGAACTACCTGGTAGACTTCGACTTAAACATCTCTACATAAAAATTTCATAGGCTATTAGTGTTTTAAGTATAATGTAAACTGTTTTAGCCACTGTTCCTAAAAACAACCAGTACATCCAGTGGCTGTCCAGTTATCCAAACTGCTCTACAATTCATGCTGCAGTGGTGAGATGCCAAAGAACCTAAGTGCTCACAAAGAAGCAAAACACAAAAGCTTTTTGGGTAGTATAATTATATTTAATTTTTGAGGTACAGTCCTTTTAATAAACTTTTCACCAGATCTGGAGGTAGAAATCAGATGGAAGGCAAAGAAAACAGTCTTGGTGTCAACAGAGTTTTGTAAATAGGTAGTTGGGCTTCTGTCTCTCAAAAGAGAAGGAATTAAGAGGTTACAAGCACACTTGTGGTCTGGCACACCATAGCCTCTCAAAAATGGGGCCTGACTTGCAGGGGTCCCCTGCCCAGCAAGCATCCCTTCAGGAGGGCTGGCGAGGTGGACAGCCACTTGAGAACCCCTTTCTCAAATACATGCCGGTTTCCATCAGGTAGAAACCTGCCTGGACCCTGGTGCAGCATGTGGGCTGTGTGAGGCCCTCCATGGAAGCTGGAGACATGAGCCAGGGTGACAAGTGCAGAAACCATGCATGGCTGGAAGAGAACCCCCCCCCCACACACACACCCAGGAAGAGAGAAACCCTGGCTGTCCTCAGCCCCTGTCACTGCTCCTCAACCACCTGATGTTGGCTTCCCTCTCCCATCCTCCTCAGCTGAGCAGGGACTACTTCAATGCTCCAGCTCCCTCCCTCCTACTGCCCCAGCTAAAAAACCCAAGGCCAACCTCACAACTGTCTTACCTGCACTTGCAATCCTGGTGAGCGGAGATGGGGACAGGGAAACTGGCTGGGCCATGTGGAGATGGGTCTCCAAACAGCCTCTGCTCTTACTTCATAAGACTGGCAGGTCTTTTGTACTCAACTCTGGTAGCTCCCTCTCCATGCCCTTCAGGTTCAATTCTAAAATGCTACAGCACTCCTCCAACCTCCCACCCAGCTGCGTTCACACTCTCTCTCTCATATGAAAATCTCAACTCTCCTTCACAGAGAAAACTGAGATGCCAAACCTCACCCCTCACAAGTACCCTTGTAGCATTTTCCTTCAACTGTTTCTCTGGACCCTGTGTGCCTTGGTCCTCTGCTATTTCACAATGTGTATTCTCTTGTCCAAAGCCTAGACCCCTCCGCCCGGCTCTTCCCAGTGAGCAATCTGATCTACTTGGCCTCTCCCTCCCTGGAGCCAGGACACAAGGTCAGAGCTGCCATTCTTTTTGGTGGACACCTTTCTTCTCCCCAGCCTATGTCCCAGTCTCCCACTTTTCACAGTAGTCTCTTAGTATGCTGGTATGGAGTCTTTGTCTTTTTTCTGTGCATAACATGACTATACTTCAGGCAAGACATTTTATATTAAAGATGTATACATTTCATTCATGTTAGTAATATAAATGTGTGTGTATATATGTACCCATGTGTATACACATATTTTTAAAAATTTTTCTTATTTAAAAAATTTTTTTTGCAGTACTGGGGACTGAACCCAGGCCCTTGAATATGATTGTAGGCAAGTGTTCTACCCCTGACTGTATCCCTCTAGTCTTTTATTTTTGTGAGGCAGSGTCTCACTAAGTTGCCCAGGCTGTGATTCTCCTGCCCCAGCCTCCTGAGTTGCTGGGATTACAGGCCTGCACCACCAAGCCTGGCCATCCCAGGCCTTTACTGGACTCCTCTCCCTGCCCTTCGCTTTCCCTCTTCCCCAAGGATCTCCTGAGTCAATGTCTCTCTCTGTTGACAGCAGTACTCTGACCCCAGTTAAATAAGCAAAAACCAAAACTCCCTTCAAAACCACTCAAAAACCAAACACCACACTCACACCTCCGAGCCATGCCCCTCTCCTCACACACAGACCATAGCCATGGGTCATCTTGTGGCGCTTCCACTCCCGTGGCCCATCACATCCAGTCAGTTCCTGAGTCCTGAAGGTCTGACCTCTCTCAACTGAGTCTCTTCACCTCTCCCTTCATCCACATTGTTCAAGTGCGGCACTTCTTTTTCTCTCTCATGATTTAGTCTAACAGTCTCCTAAGCCAGTGGCAGAGTTCTGGAGTGTAAATCATTCTGGATAAGATTTCTGCTAGAATTTGGACACGGTTTGAATGTGTCCATGTGTTCAGAGCTTGGTCCCCAGTATGGGTGTGGAGAGGTAGTAGGACCTTTAAAAGGCAGGCCAGGACTGGCTCCTCCCATCACTTTAAAGGCCTTCTAGCCACTGATCTCTCCCTTTCACACAGCTCCTGCCATTGTGGTGCCATCTGCCATGAGGTGATACAGACAAGGGCGGGGTCACTCCCCAGAGCTGGCATTACACTGTTTAGATTTTCAGCCTCCAAATCAGAGCTAAATAAACTTCTTTTCTTTATACATACCCAACTTKGGGTATTTTTTTTATAGTAGCAGAAAACAGATTCATACAACTTCCTTTTTAAATGTGTAAAAAAATATGGAACACTTTACAAATTTGCCTGCCGTCTTTCCATAGGGGCTATGCTTATCTCTGTACTGTTCCAGTTTGAGTGTGTGTGTGCTGCCAAAGAGAACACCACCTTCCTACTGTTGTTGACCTTTCTGCATCTTCTCACCAAACTCCACCCATGACCACCTGCAGTTGCATATTAGGACATGCTGCCTTCACCTTCCCAATAATTGTTGAGCTGAATTTAATTACCAGGATTTTCACCTGTCCTGTGGACGAGGAAGGGCCCAACTGCCTCCAGTGAGGCCAAGAGGTCTCTGGCAAAGTCTGTACTCTCCATAGTCAGCGAGTGTCCAGAAGTCACAGGTAGCCATGAACTGCTAGGGACAAGCTGGTCTCCAATGGGGGAAGTAAAGATAAAGGGGGCATCTAACTTCTCCCACTTACTTAACCTTTGCCTCTCCTTACTTTCTGTTTTGTGAAAAGGACTGCAGGATTGGGAGTAGGCTGAAATCTGGGGTAACTATGAAATGCTGCTTGTTTGGAATGTCCATTTGGTGCACTGTCTGTAGACACCTAAGTTTTCCTGGGGCTAGTTAGAAACCGTGGTGCTGGTAAATTCTCTGAAAATTCTGTGAGCAAAGATCTCCATTTAGGATGGTTACTGGTCATTTAAAGTTTCAGGAAGACATGACCCTGGTACTAATAATGATATCTGTGCCTTGGGCCTCAGCCTCCTACAGCCAGAGAGTGCTCAGGTTGACCCAATCACTTCCCTATCTGCCCTCTTGGTAAAGCCCAAGCAACTCAGCCTGCCACTTCAGAACCCTCCCTGGAACATCATCTCTTGGCTCCTCCTTTAGGAGTTTTAACTCACACCCCAGAGATTCCAAACTACACGCTGCTCCTTGAACACACCACTTCTAGCTCCTGCTTGGAAGGCCCTCGATACCCACTTCTGACCATCTGGAAGTTTTCTACTCAAAATGTGAAACATGGTACAAAAATTGATTGTTAGGTGATGCCTTTATGCCCCTTCAAAAGTTCCTCTCCCTGCATCATGCAGGTAAGTATGAATTCTCTCCTCTCTTTATGTCTTCACTTTGGGCACTTCTGTCACTGAAGACAGCCCAGAGCACTTCAAATGTTAGTTAAGTGCCCTCTTCCTCTGACTTCCCCAGGGCAAGGCAGCCTCCACCTCGTCTTCATATCCCTAGGGCCTGGCACACAGCTAGTACTCARTAAATTCCAAGTGGATCAGAAAAGGAAAAGGAGCTTGAAGCATGCGCCATGGTCAGGTCCAAAGTTAAGTCGGGGTACAGCTTAGAAGCTGGCCGTGGAAAAAAGGGGCAGATGACAGAACCCTGACTTTCTAAGCATTCTGGACCAGGGCTTGGGAGAGTTGAGAGAAACTGATCATTTGGGCAGCTGGGTGGGGGTACTAACAAGACTATAAAATCTTACATTAACCTCAGAGAGCAGAAACATCTGCAAAAGCCACAGCGGCGGGCTGGCCAAGTTCAGCAGCGGGTTAGCCAGGACAGCCCTGTGACCAACGGAAAGGGCCACAGAAGGGAAGAATCAATCACCAGACAAGGAGGAGCAGGAAGGATGAGCTATGACATCGGGTCAGATGACCACAACCCACGGGGGGCTCTCCAATGTCTGTAGGGCCTCTCAGCCTCTCTGTACCTTTTAGCCCAGGCCTTGGCAGGCCTCCACCTAAACACTCCCACAACCTAAGTGCCCATCAGCCCAGATCTGCAGCCTGACAACGTGGTGAGTTTTTTTGCTTTTCTCTGAGGACTTCGAGGTTTTAACACCAAGGTACACTTTAGATCCTTACTTGCCCACTGAAACAACATCAAGGAAATAGATAATTTGTTTTCTGGCCAACATCTCTGTTTAAAGAGTTTTCTTTTTCATATCAACACTTCCATGACTTCAAAATTTGATCAACTTTTTGCTACACAGTTTGACATTAACAAAACATCAACACRGACAATCTGCTGGTGTCAGAAAGGAACATCTTAAAACTGTCTGGATGTGACATGAAGCCAGGCTTCCAATCCTCATCTTTGATGTCTATTATAAAGCAGTACCAATAAAATATCATGGAGATTTATGGGCGAACTTTCATTTGAGCTGTTTCACACCTAAAATAACATGAGTGGATGAGCCAGTAGGCAGAAAATTTAGGTTTAGGTTTCAACTGTTTAGGTTTTCTTTTACTTTTAAAACTTAATTTACTTACTTAAAAAAAAYTACCTTAAAACTTAAAATTACATTGTGTTCTCTCCCAGAGAAAACAGTGGAGAGGCATTAACTGCACAGATATCATGTCCTTCTGAGAAGMATGGGTTCGAGTTCAGGTAGACAGTTGTCCCCTGTCCCAACAGAACCATCTTTTGTCAAAAAGAAAAGATGTTTTTTCACGGGATTTAAACAGATGCTATTTAAATTTAACTTTCTGCCTGAGTACACCCTATTGTTAAGAAGAGTTAACAAATACTTATTACTGTGAGTAAAATCTCAACAAAAAGAATTTCATTTAAAAGTCAGTGGGACGGGCCCAAGATTGGTTTCACTGCACATTGTCCTACTCCACAGGAGGACTCCCCCAACCAAGCTGAGATTGTAATTCTGACCATCAGTCACTTATAGGTCAGCCTCTGAATGAAAAGAAGTCAGAGCCACATTCTCTATAGATGGGAAATCAACCGGAACCCCCAGCCCTACCCCCATCTTCCTTCCCCTGAGTGATGAAGTTGGGAAAAATGATTCTGCCAAAGGAGAAAGCAAGAGAATCTGGAGGGGGAGCAGCAGCTCATCCAGCTTTTAAGAAGACCTTTATAGGCAAAATGAAGTGAAAACAGCAGAAAAGTTCCTGGACACAGTCCTTTAAGAAACAAAAATGAGTAGGAAGAAAGGTCAGAGCAATGGTTCAAAGGCATGAGAAGGCCCAGCTGCTGCTTTCCAAGGCTGCGGGCTGGCAGCAGAGGCACACAGCCCCTTCCGCCCAGCTCCATACCTGCAGGATTCAGCAGCAGAGCCCTGGCTCAGCAGGCCCCAGGAGAGACGCTAGGACTGTGACAACCACGAAACCGTCCAGAGAGTGGGGAAGGAAACATGCTTAGCTGTTCAACCCACCTTTATTTATTTTTCATTTTCTGATTTTAAAACAGAATTCCTGGTTTTAAAAGGAGAATGCAGCAGCTGGACAAGAGAAAGTCACCTGCTTAGAAGAAATATCTTTAATGGCTTCAAATTCTTAAATATTCAAAGAATACTTAACTGAAGAGCAAAGTTAATTTTTCTAATTGGGGAGAACATTTCACATTTATTCACTTAGTGTGGACTTTAGAGTTTAAGAAACCACTTCAAAGATTGAAGTTTAAGAGATGACTTCTCTTTCTCTTTCCGTCATAACATTATAGTTTCTGCAGATAAAAGGAATTTGGAGTCTCGTCTTCCTTCTTTAAGAGGCCCTGGATCAGGCAAGGGCTGGGTTTGGCCAAGGGCATTCTGAGGCAGGAAGTGAGGATGGATGCCTCCAAYTGGAAGTCATGTTAAGTGGGATCAACATTAAGTACCCTAACTATGTCCTCAGGAGGGCCACACTAAGGAAGAACCTGGACCTTGATGTGGTTTCTCTGCCTTGGTAGGCTGGATAGAGGATCCTAAAGGAGTTAAAGTGGAATGGCAATTGCCCCCAAAGCTTCAAAATAAAAATACATGTTTTAAGTATAACATGTATATATAAATGTATAAGCCATGAAAGTTTGATTTATTTTCATGAACTGAACCCACTTCAAGACTCACTGGAAGTCCCCCACCACTGAGAGCTTCTTCCCATCAAGGGTAAACATGACCCTGACTTCTAATGGTGTAGATTAGTTTCACCTGGTTTTGAACTTGTATGGAKGGAATCTATCCTTGTGTCTGAATTCTTTCACCATTAAAGCTGTTGTGTGAATCCACTGTGCTTTCCTTCTCATTGCTCTACAGCCTCCCACAGGGTGAATATACCATGATTTATCTGTTCATTTATCTGTTCATTCTAGGTGATAGGTATTAAATAATTTCTATTTTTTATTTTTTTGCTAGCTTGAACAATGCTTCAATGAACATATATCATCGTTTTTTTTTTGTTGTTTTTTTTTGGCAATACCCACAATAAGCACTTCTATGGGGTACATCTTAGAAGTGGAATGGCTAAGGTATGTATACACTTAGCTTTAAAAGATACTACCAGAGTTTTTTGTTGTACCAATTTGCCTTTTTCCAGCAGTGAGAGTTCCCATTACTCCAGAGCCTTACTAAGGAACACGTGGTATTTTCTATCTTTTAATTTTAACCATGCTGGTTGGTTATGCACATCTTTGAGGTAAGAGTCAGGTTCCTTCTCTTTCTCTCATCTTCTCCAGAAAAGTAAATGTCAATTAGATATGGTGGTGCCAGCTGTCATAACTAGCAGACACTTGGGCTCCCTCTCCCAGGATGTCCAAGCAAGTGTTGGCAAGCTGGTACAATATGAAGGAGTTATAGGGGGTGAAGCTGGCAGGCCATGAATTCAATGACTTTTGGAACTTTCAAATATCTAGGGAACTGGCCTTCCAGTTCCTGCACTTGCAGATGGCATGTGTGAACCTGGAAGACAATCAGTCTTCCACATGGATGTCTTTGTGAGATCCAGGAGTGACTGGTGAAGTCCTCAGTCCCATCTATCAGAAAATCCAGGGTCCTTCCAGATAGCTCATGACTCCTGAGGTATCGACTGGCTGCCTCATGCTGGAGAACCTCAGAAATTGTAGCTATAGTTATCATGAATGGGAATATGATGTAAAGAAGTGAAGAAGATTGTACAAGAAAGCTGTCAGTATAAGGGGTATAACACTGAAGGTATTTCTTCTAGTACCAGGTTAATAAGTCCTGACTGGTCATGAATAAAGGTCAGGTGGATACAAACTTGTAAAATGTTAAAGAAACCTTCTAAAAAGCCAAACATAACCTGAAGGCCAGCTCTGTGGAGCTATGTTCCAGGGGTGCCATATGCATAGTCAGTAATGGAATGTGAAGGCCTATTTCATGGCCAAAGAGGAAAGGCTGGGGAAGAAGCCTGGTGTG